TGTGCAGAATACAATCTGAAATTATACAAGTAATACCATTGTGAACTCTCTGCTTTATTATTGTGGCCACATATACACGGCGCTTAGTACCATGGTGTCTGATTTGAGTTTTCAGGCTGTGAAAACATGTGTCATAATGCAGCTCAAGAGTCCCCCCCCCCAAATTTGTTGTTATGTGCTGTCTACTCGCTTCTGACTCATGGTGACCCTATGAATGAGCAATCTCCAAAATGTCCTGCCTTCAAATTTTTATTTATTTATTTTATTTATTGTATTTATACCCCGCCTATCTAGTCATTTCGACCACTCTAGGCGGCTGATTAGCTTTTTTAAACTCAAGCCTGTGGCTTCCTTTAGGGCAATGGTCCCCAACCTTAGGCCTCCAGATGTTCTTGGACTACAACTCCCAGAAGCCTTCAACACCACCTCTGCTGGCCAGGATTTCTGGGAGTTGAAGTCCAAGAACATCTGGAGGCCCAAGGTTGGGGACCACTGCTTTAGGGAGTCAGTCCTACTCAAATAGTGCAGAGTAAATAACTTCAAATTTAGATATTTTTCCAGCTTAACGGATCTTGCTCTACGTGCGAGTGGTTAATGCAGGCTCTGTTTCAATCTTGGTGCCCCCCCCCAAGAAATTACTTATCTCTCATTCACAAACTCTCCCCTATACAGCTATAACAAAAGAGGAGTCTTTCGTTTTTGTGATTTCTTAAATGATTTCACCCATAATCAACTGGCTAAAAATATATACACAGTTGGTGCACTCACATAACCCTTTATCTGTAGCACTGTGTCATTAATTTTATGTCTGGGGCAAGCTTCTAAAATATAAGGTTCCAATTAATTCAATTAGGACACTGGAGGGCAGGGCAACTTACCATGTTGTAGACTGAGTTTCTGGTGGGCCAGCACAGCAGAAAAATTTTCTCCAGCTTCCTGTAAAACAGAAGAAAGATAATTTGAGGGAAATATGTTGTAAACAGGAGTCCTCTTGCAAATGTATCCTCTGAGCCAGAAAAAGTGTTGACTCTAAGTTCTGACTGTCTCCTACAAATCCCCAGTCTACCTTTCCTATCTCACTGTTTCTACTGTATAAACTCAACAGACATACAAAACTCTTTAAGAATGTCAAGGCAAAGGCAGGAAATGTGACATATATGGGGAGCAGTGAAAGCACCTTATGAATGCAGAAGCATATGTATGCTGTTAACATTAGGTGAAATCTTATTGATCACACTACATTATTCTCTGCATATGTATGCTGTTAACATTAGGTGAGATCTTATTGATCACACTACATTATTCTCTTCCAGCTCCCAATCTCTTTCTAGAACTCCTCTTAAATCAAACCATGCAATGACACAGGACTGCTGCTGCATGTTTTATGATTCCATAGCAATAATTTTATAGCCAGAAATATACAGCTTATGCGGGTGACTTTCCATTCCAGTACTATTGGCTTCCTTAATTTGTCTCTGGAATGACACAATCTGCTGAAATCACTTGCTTCCTTGCTACAGGCATCATCAGTGCCCTGAGGTGGCCAGGATCAAGTTGTGCCAGGATTCTCCTAGACGCAGATTTGTCACATAACTGTTAGGGCCACGAATCTGCCCAAGAATAAACTGTACTTTCAGCTGGTATCTGTTCATCTACCTCTCCCCCCCCCATGACTACTAAGAGAAGCCATGTCAGCATCAAGGATTAGAGGGTAATATTCTACATGTGTTGTGTTATCTGCCATCAAGTTACTTCTGACTTATGGAAAACGTAATAGGGTACTCAATAGGGTAGGTTTGTGAAATATTTAAGAAGCAGTTTCACTAGTGCCACACCCCAGTGAGTTTTCATGGGTGGGTGGGAAGTTTCTTGGTCCACTAGGGTCTGAACCTGTTCCACTAGCTGTATCCTCACAAGTCCGCTGAGGCAAGTTAAATTCAGAGACAAACAGCTAAATCAAATTGTTAGTGTCTATTCATGCCGGTCCATGAATGGGGCATGCAACTGTTGGTTAAACAAACCCTATGCCCTCAATGGCTCTACTTGAGTTGGACTGGCAATTGGATTTAGCACAATTAATGGACCAAGGTTATCCACAGAAAGTCATGGCTGAGTTTCGAATTACTTATTTATTTATTTGTCTCATTTACAGGCCACTTTTCTCCTGATAAGGCATCGCAAGGTGGCTCGAGGAATTAAAAGCTGGGTGTGCCTAGGCAAAGGAGTCTGCAGGGTTCATAGCAAGTGCCACTACAACATTGTGTATCTATCTGTATGGATTTAAATAAAATACATTTTAGTCTTCCAGGCAAAAATGCCAAAACAGTCCTTGCTCACCACAGCCTAAGCCCTGTCCTAACACTTTGGCTACTACACCTTGCTAGTGTTGTTGCCTCCGACATGTCCATGAAGGTCCTTTCTTGCTGTTCTGTGCCATCAGGTCAGAACTGACTTACTGTACAGAGACCCTAATGGGGCTTTCAATATAAGTGAGAGAGACACCCGGTGAGTCAAACTCAGCTCGCCTGATTCACAGTCCCTAACTCTGTCCACTACTCCACATTATGTAGGTTCTACTCCAGTATAAATAAATAATAATGTGTTGCCCAGTTGATTCCAACTGATGGCAACCCTTTCCAGGGGTTTTTCTAGATGAAGCATACTCAAGAGTAGTTTACTGAACTCTTCTTTTGGGATTGAGCAGCTTGCCCAAAACTACACAGGCTGGTTCTTCTCAGGAAATCACAATGGGAATTGAACTCTCAGGGTAGCGAACTCAGGGTAGTTATCCAGCCAGCCATTCTGCTATTACCGGCTGAGTAACAGTGTCCCTACAGGACTGATTCTTTCCCTCCCGCTTTCCCACCATAACCAGTGGGATCTTTCCAGCAGCCCAGTCCCTCACCTTTATTCTTCCCCATGGTTTCAACTTTCGGTCTAGCCCCGTATGTAGTTGGTAATAGGGCTGCAGCCCGGAGGGTGCTGGCTGCCGGCTTCTCCCCAAGCCCGACACTGATCACCTCCAGCATTGTCCTGGCCCTACTGGGGGGAGGGGGGAGGAGACACCTCAGCACAACAGCGGGCGCGACGTCACCGGGAAGCTTTTTGACGTCACGCGGGTAAGATTCTCTTCCACATACATACACACACACACACCGCTGCCGGTGCTTCCTGCCCAAAGGGTGGGTGGGGTGGAGGGATGGAGAGCAGGAGGAGTGCATCGACGGGGCTTTGGTCCTCTGGATCCAATAAAATGCCCGACACGTCAGAGAAGCATACACAGAGGCGCTCTCACCAATGCTTCTCTGCTACGGGGGAATCCTGGTTGCTGGAGCATGGGAACACCAGTTGTTGGGAATCCCCCGCTTATGTATACATTCACTTAATCATAATGCTTGCTCTTGATCAAGAGTTCATAGGTAGATGCACTTAACCACACGAGGTATCAGGAAGAATCACAAGGGCGATTACGCCTCGCTTAATTGATTTTTTTTTACCCCTTTATTTTATTTATTTATTTATTTGGTCGACCACTCTTAGCCTCAGCGCCCGTCACAAAGCTAAGGTTTCCAAACCTGGGTGGTATTTTCAAATCAAGAGAGATTGAAGTGACCTCTGAGCAGGCGCAGAGTGGATTACCCGCCCATACTAAACGCTAGAGACGTCCGTTTCTTCTGATCTTGAGAAGGGGGACTTTCTAGCGCGGGCGGAGGCCGGGGCATCTTGGTTTCCCCGAATGTCACCGCCTGATGTCCCTCGAGGGACGGGGGTGCCCAGGGAGGAGTGTGCAAATGCACAGGCGCGTGGGTCGCGTTTCTGACAGCCGAGGGCAATATTACTGTGTGTGTGTGTGTGTGTGGTTTTCAGACCACGTCCCCGTTCCTGCGCCTCTGATGGCCAAGGAGACCCACGGCGTGGATTTCTCCACCTCAGCTGTGCATCACACACACATACACACCCGGC